GGCGACATCAGCTAGCCCCCAACCCCAGTTTGCTACCATATTTCATATACCATATACCATATACCCTCCTTATTAACAGCAACGTAATCTGAATGTGAAATCAAGTCGCAGTGCACAATCCACAATATCAGTTGACAACTGTCGACGGTCGTCTGGCAGGCATTTAAACGCTTGTCAAAATTATATAAACTGCTGTCAAAAGTGCCGACGGGAACTAGGGAACTTTTTACGCCATGGTCTTCTTTAAAGTGCAGTAGTACACTTAGAAAAAATTCAATATAAAGAAGTACCAACATAGAATTTTAGAAATAAATATGTTCAACTTTCTGTTTTTTGGTAAAATTGAATTCCTTTAAAGTTTTTAGGAACATCTTAGTTTCATTTATGATATGGGAACTTTTAGATACATAAAGCTTTCTTTCTATCTTAGGGTATCCCATATCTCTAAAATAATATTTTCCCAGTGCAAATAAGAAGTCCTGGGCCCTGCAGTCGGAACTCGTCGTTTCTGTGGCAATTAATGCGAATTTCGACATCATAATTAAAGCGCATGGTGACGACGCTGGGTCTCGTCTTGCGACCGGGTCCATTATATTTAATGAGTGAGCCAACGGAACTGGGAACTGAACTATACCATACCAGGCCAGACCAGACCAGACCAGACCAGCAGAAGTAGAGCGGACCAGACCGGTCCCAGACCCATTCATTCACTTTTGATATTTGCATATTTTCACATGTCATTCGGCTTTTTGGCATTTCTTTTCCGTCTTTTGTGCCGGCAAAATGCAATTGCAGTTGCTGTCTGAGGCGAGATCTTCATGCGGGAAGTGGATTGGCAGTGGAGCAGGGGGAATCCCCGCCAGGCATCGCATAATTAGCCGCAGACTTTTGCCGCTTGACAAACTCTTTGAAGAGCTCCTGCTCCTCCGTCCGCAGACACGTGTGCATCTCCCGGGGATTTCACTGTTTGGCTTATTTATTGTGGGATGTCTTAATTTATGAACAACTGTCAGGGCCCTGAGACTTGCCATCGGTTTGTTGTTTGCGATGGTGAAAAGATCGCGAAGAGACAAGCGGATCCATTCATTGTACCCGTGACTCAACTCCTTGGAACTCTGATTCATTCGGCGTATCCCCAAGTATTGTTCCTCAATCGCGATAAGCTCCATAAGCTTTATCTCCGGCATTTGGCATTCAAAATTTATGAGTCGCAAAATACTTTTGGCCTCGGTTAAGTTCGCCCGCCCTGCTCTCAGCCCTCAAGTGCAATCAAATAATTGTAATCTCTTTCAAATTGCAGTTAAGTTTTACTTCCACTTCCACTTTTGAACCGAACTTGGTGGGTTGGTCGACCCACTTTCCACCCACTTTCGCCCACTTGATTATGCTGATGAGCACGTAGCTGTAACCCCAAAATGCACTTCTGGTTGCCCCAAAGAAGAGTGCTTGGCAAACTGAGTTTTTCGGCAATCTTAATTAGAGTAGATAATGCTGATGACTTTGGGTGCTTTTCCGGTTTGGATTTATTTGCCCAATTCGATTATAAGTAAGTGTTGGTCAGCGGACCGCGGGCCAAAGTAATGGTTGAATGCTGTTAAAAGATTGCTTAATTCGAAAAGTTTTCAAAGTGCATTTTAAGGAAAAATTCAGCAGGAAGCGTGAAGGTTTTAACCATTTTAAAAGCTTACCCATGTAGAAGATTACATTTGTTGCCAAATTGTTTTATGTTTATAATTTGTTATATTATTAAACGACTCACAAGAATAATATTATCAATGATCTAATCACTCCATTTTCTAAGGTTTCCTTTTTTTTCGTAGAGGTATATACTTAACCAACACTGGATAATTTTCCAAAAGAGTGAATCGGCCTGTTTTGGGATGCCTACGGAATGCACTTCATAAATTGTTTACATAGAAATTAATTACGCCGCTCATTGTTTTCTTGGCCGACGGAAGTGGCAGCCTTTGTCCGCCAGGGGGCGCTGTGTTAGCCACGTTAAGCAAACTCCTTTGTGCCGCATAAATCAAGTTTGCAGCGCCGTTAGCAGTACTTTCAACACTTTTTGTGGCCCTTGCTGGCCGGCTCACTTTTATGGCCCACCTTTTCTGTTCTTTTTTTTTGTAAACCCGCCGATCGTGGCAATAAAATTGCATTTAATTACACGAATGCAGTGGCTTAAGTGGGCGAAAAGGGGGGTTGCATCAGTGGGGGTGGTGGTGGGTCGACTGGGGTTGGTTGGCCATCGGGAAATTGCCCTTGGTTTCGAGCCCGGCCAGCTCTTCATTGTTGCGCGCATTTTTGAGCTCATTAAACCGACTGCAATTGTTGCCATGCGTTGCGTGAGTGCTGCATTTCAGTTTCTGCCCTTTTGTTGGCCGGCAATCAATTTGCAGTCAGCAGTCTGCAGTTTGCGAAAGTTGCAGAAATGCAAAAATGAAATTATATTTGTGGGGCCCCGTACCCGGCACATCATTAAAATGCATCGACCTGCAAACAAACGAGTCGAACACCTCTCTTGGCATAAAGCTTCTCCTTCATTTGTGTGCAATTTCTGAAATCTCCCAGAGGGAGATTTTCCACAGGAAAATGCCTGAGCTGGAGAGTCCATAATATTTATAATCAGGCTACGGCATGCATGAGGTTTCTTCCATTCTGCAAAACAAACTATTAACAAAGAAATGTGCAATTCTGGATGAGGTGGGTGCATTCAAAACAAAGAGTAACCGATGGGTCATCGGAAATGTAATACTCATAGCAACCTGGAAGAGCTTTTCATTATTATTGTTTTGGAGGTGGGCAAGGCATATTTGCCTTTATTTTTGTAAAACTTGATTCAAATTTGGTTGGCAAATAAACCATACAATGTTTTGGATCAAATTAAGATGCTATTTTTCACTTAATTATTCCCAATTAAATCGATTCTCTTGTAACCTTTGCCTTTCCTGCTTTTCAATCCCCATCATCTTTGCCTTCGCAGAGAGCTTAAAATACTACTCCCCCTCTTTTGTCAACTTTAGACCATGTTTTGTTTGGCTGATTGACTTTCGCATGCAATTTCCATGTTTTCCCTTAACGCCTCAATGATTGCCAACAATGGCGGGAGAAGTGCAGTCCGGCGTTTTGCCAAGATGGCGTGTGGCAGGGCCATAAAACAGCTAAAACTGCTAAAACAGCCCTGCCTATGGAGCTTATAAAACAGACCAGTCACACACTCGCATCGAGTTTTGTTTGGGAATGCGCTAAATGAATGCAATAAACCAACTAGAAGGGTCCCCAGTCATTGTTTATGGCCACGCTTCGCTGAATTCTAGGGGAAGCTTCGGGGCTCTGTCTCTTTCTATTCAGTAGACTCTGTCTCTTTCTAACTTATCGGTCTCCGATCACCGGCAAATGGCAACAATCAGCGTCTGGGAATTGCAACTGCAATAGCAAATGCAACACATAAGCAACTTGAGCTCGGCATTCAACTTGTCCGATTTTGTTGCCTCCGAGGAGCGGGAGCAATCAACGCATTGTCGACAGGTGGAAAACTTCATGGCCAATGAATTGCAGTTAACATGTTTAACCCTTTCATATACTCTTTCTTAAGGTGGGTACTTCCATTCGAGATTTAAGGTTCCATAAGGTATAAACATTTTCAGGAACTATCTTTAAGATTGATAAACCAAATCTTATTGAAGCTTACTTTTCTCACTATATTGGTTGATATTATTTATCATATCATATCATATCATATCATATCATATCATATCATTCCTTTATTACAAATTCTATACCTTATTTTTTCTAATTCTAAAACAGTATTGAACTTACTCTACTTAAACATTTTCATATCTATCTAAAGCATTATAAAAATATTTTCTGAACTTTAAAGTAAAAGATGTCCTAAAACAATACAATTTCAAACTCCTTGATTAATCAATGGACTTTATAGCCTGAGTTATATACAAACTATCCTTAGATATAATATTCTTTTAGAGATTCCTTATATTTTGGGCAAGGGTATATAAACTTCTGTTGGCCAACAAAATCATTCTCGCTTGTTTTATTCCGTGGCTGTTGTATTTTGCATGGCCTGAAGCTGATTTTGCTGCTGCCGCAGACTGACAGCAACAGTTTCATTTCGTCTCACTCTTTTTTTTCCGTGTGTTGACGTGGCCAGTAATTTGTGTTGTTGCTGTTTGTTGGTTGGCTGAAGGGAAACGCCAGCAGCAACAACAATGGCCACAAACACACATGCAATTTTGTGCATTAAAATTTCACACTGAATTCGCATGTTTGTTTGTTTGTTGGCTTGGTTCGGTTGGGTTGGTCGAATGCTTTTTTGGCTTTTCGGGTTTTCGGACCCTCACCTTTTTTTTTTGTTTATAGTTGGGAGAGCTCCTTTTGGCTTGCTGCATTTACTGTTTAATTTGGCATGCATTTTGCCGCTGCCTTCCCGCTTTTCGAGGACTTTCTGCTGATGTCGCCTGCCAGAAGCAGCTGACAACAAAATGGCGATAGTGTCCTGTCCCCCAGCCCCCTCACCCTGCTCATTGCACCTGCCTCAAACCGAGGTCATCATCATCATCATCATCATCATCGTCATCGCCATCGTCGCCTGTCAACAGCCATGGTTTTGGCCTTCGTGGGCGTGGTCTTCAACGACTGGTCAAAAAACGGGTTAAAGGGGCAAAGGGCACACTTAATTTGCCGCAAATTTAATTAAGCCAACTCAACTGCAGTCAACACAGATGCCCACGAATGCTGGCTAAGAGGAATCAGACAGATTTCAATTATCCAGGTTAAAAAGTAAAATAATAATATTTATAAGGTTGTATTTTTGTGAAGTCAAGAGCTTACTGGATCTTTAACCTGTATAAAACATTTAGGCAACCTTTTCTTAAAAATAATATACTTATTCTGAGCAGCTGTAAGCAATATTTACATCAATTTCACTCGGTTGATAAGCCTGTTTCTGATAAGTATTAATAAAGTCGCTCGATTAGCCAAGACCTCTCGGCGTTCCATTTAATTCTCAACTCGCGATGAGATCAGCAGTGATCGTTTTCTGTCTGTTATTTTGCCACTCGGTGTTAGCTAGACTTTTAGAGCCAAATTGCGGAATTCGCGCTGATGTCGCCACCTACCGGACGAGAATTATCGGAGGCAGGAATGTTCAGATCGCTTCCCATCCTTGGATGGCCTATCTTCACCAGGAATCGCAGTTCATCTGTGGCGGAACTCTCATCAATCGCCGTTAGTACTCGTGTTGTTATAATAATATGTAATCTAATATTTTCATTTAAATCTTTGCAGAGTTCGTCCTGACAGCTGCCCATTGCCTGGATTCGTCTTCAAAACTGTGAGTATCCCAAGGCAGTTATGTTTAAAAGATGGATGTTGAAAATTTCCCTCCCGTAGGACAGTTCGCCTGGGAGGAATGAGTCTAAGGTCCAGTGACAACTCAATGTGCCAAATTCCAGCCGAGGACTACGAGGTTGACCGTGCCTTTCGACATAAATACTTCACCCCCACGATCTTTTTGAACGATATAGGAATGCTACGACTGGCCAGATTTGTGGACTACAATGGTGAGCTATCACCACAATACACAATATCATCTACAAATTATTTAAAGTTCACATTAGGCCCATTTGCATTATCCTGGATCCGGCAATGCAAAGATTGGTGGAGGATGGCATGACGCTCACGGCCACCGGTTGGGGACTAACCGACGTGGGATCTGAAGCCTCAGTTCTCCAGGAGGCCAGCATCCTGGTAATGAACCGGAACCTCTGCAGCGATCTCTACAATGTTCCGGTGGGACTTAACCAGATCTGTGCCGGAGACAGCGAGACAAACACCTGCAGTGGTGACTCAGGTGGACCACTTGGAGGTATAGTGATTTACTATGGGGAACCTAAATTCGTTCAGTATGGGCTAACTAGCTTCGGAGACAAAGAATGCCGGGCTCCTAGTGTCTATACGGATTTGAGCACCTATTCCGGATGGATCGAGATGGTGGTGAATGTATATGGCACATGATGGCTCTTTCAATACTTGAAATCGATCATCTAACTTTCAATCTGAACAGAACCTCTCCTCTAAGCATTCCTTAAATATTTGTTTTTATACGTAATGTCATTTCATTAAAATTAATTTCATTAAGCTGCCCTCTTTAAAAGAATTTCTACGAATTCCTTTAGATGTATTTATTGTCTTAATCAATAACCGATAAGTCAGAATGAATTAAATATAATAAATTCCTGATAAGTCAGAAAAATGAATGCATTTTCTCGCGAATAAATAAGTTCCTCATAATAAAGAGGCTGATAAGCCCGTCTCATGGCGGCTGTTAAACCCAAGACCCTATAGTAAAGGCACCAGTCGCAAAATGAATACCGTGGTTGTCGGGTTTACGTGCCTACTTCTTCCCCTACTGGGATCCGCTCAGTTCATCGATATGGCGTGTGGGATTCGAGCTCCCAATCCCATTGGGGCCCGGATCAAGAATGGAACGATCGCTGGATTGACATCAAGTCCTTGGATGGCCTTCCTACATTCGACGACAGGAAGATTCATTTGCGGTGGATCCCTAATTACTCACCGTTAGTAAATTAAGACCTATTTCTCAATCAGCTTGTAACTTTTTTACTTATATACAGGTCTGGTGCTGACTGCAGCTCATTGCTTTCTACCCAATATCCAGCTGTAAGTCATAACAAATTATTTTTAAAAGCATTTGTAATAACAATATCTGACTCCCATTTATTGTAGAATTGCTCGTTTGGGAGAGTATGATAGAGAAGAATACGAAAAGTGCCATGGTAGCTACTGCACCTTTCGAACGGAGGCTAGAGTGGAGAGGGGATTCCGGCACCGTCTTTATGATCCAGACACGATGGCCAACGATATAGCCATTCTGCGACTGGTCAGGAGAGTGGAGTATACAGGTTGGTTTAACTAAAACCCATCCAAATCTTAAAAGTTATAAGATAATATAATTTTTTTCTGCACAGATAACATCAGACCCATCTGCATTGTATGGGACACTAGATGGAGGAACTACATTAACTCCATAGATCCGGTCACTGGCACTGGATGGGGTAAAACGGAATCTGATGGAGATAGCGGCAAGCTCATGACTGTCGACTTATCCCGCCAACAAACGGAGATCTGCCAGCGTTTCATCTATCGAACTCTCACGAGTACTATGTTTTGCGCCGGAAATTGGGATAGCAATCTATGCAACGGTGATTCCGGCGGTCCAGTGGGAGCAATGGTTCCTTTCCAAAACTCTCAGCGCTTCATCCAAATTGGAATCGCCAGCTTTACGAACACCCAGTGCTCAAAAGCCAGTGCTTTCACGGATGTCCTGAGCTATGTCGACTGGATCCTTGCGGTGTATAACTACCACCAAAGCTAACCTGAAACAATTCCAATACGATTATAATGTTCTTACTGACATAAAGAAAAGATTTAATATATACAGTTTTCTGGGACTGGAACTTTTAGTATAAATCCAGTTCCAACTGCCGCTTCAAAAGTATTAGTCTACAATATATTTTTGTAGCAATTGCATATCTTTATAGAACTTTTCTTGTATCTAATTTTGGTTATCCACAACTTTCTTTTCGAATATTTCTGCAATTTAAACTTCCCCTGAGCATTTTAAAAACGCAAATCGCTGGCAGCCCTGGCATTGTCATCATGCAAATGCTTGTCCTGCATATTTAATGCAAAACTTCCTTTTTTAGCTAAAGAAAAGTGCGGAAAAACTCGAGTTGGCAGTAAACACTTTTCACGATCAGTGGGCCATATAAAAGAATCCTCCCCTTTGAATGTCCCGGAGTGAATGCATTACGCTAATTAATTCTTGATATACGGCGGAGGAGCTGTGGCCAAAATGAGGCCACAAGCCTGCAACTGGGCTATAAAAAAGAGACGCCAGCAATAAACGGAAAAAAACGGAAAAAGGAGGAAAGAAAAGTGAGTTAAAAAAGGAGTTATATCTACATTTGCTCCAGTTTTTTGTAAAAGTACTGCTACTGTTTCCGCTGATGCTTCCCGTAAATTTGCAAGGGCAATTAAAATTTAGCAGGCTTTAAAGCTGTGACAGATGCCGCGGTAAAACTTTAATGACAAAAAGGAAAAATATGAAAAAAGCGGGCAGGGATGGTGGAAATGGCAGGGGAACTTGGAGAACAGCGAAAGTGAACAGTTGCCAGTGTCTGGGCGGTGTATCCTGGCAAGGATTCTGCATCTTCAGGCTTAACTTCTTTTTTTGCTATGCCACATGTGTCCTCATACACAGAGAGAAAAAAAACTTGTCTAGCATGACTAAAATTATTATAAACATTTCGTAAATTAAATTAACTTTTTTCCTTTCTTTCTACTTTCAACAAAAAACTCATCTGATCTCCAATAAATTCATTAATAATGTGGAACAAGAGAATTGGAAGCGAATGTAGTTCATGCTTTCTTATCCTTTGCCCCTTGATTTCTCGCAGTGCATTTATACACATGTGGCAACGCATCTCCGACAGGAAACCATTCGCAGCCACCGCCAAAATGTGGCAACAACGGCAGAGACAACAGAGGATGAAGGAAGCTTACTTCCTATTCCTATGGGTAGAACCCTCTGCTGGTACTCCCCGTACTCCTCGTACTCCCGAATCCCCTGGTACTCCGCTAACCAACTGCTAAACGCACTGAGAACTTTCCCACACACATACTGTATGCCACATTCTGCTGAAGCGAAAGTGCGCGGAAGTAATAAAACATGCGGGAGGAGCGCGAGAGGCTGCAACTTTTGCGACGCTTGTTGCACTCGCTATTGCAATTGTCTGGAAAGTGTTGCGACATTGGTGGCAAGTGGGTGGTGCAGCAGGAGGTGGTGCCGAAGGATTTGGTGCTGGAGGGGGTAAACGGTGGGTGGCAGCATTTGCGCTTAAGTGCCACAATATTGGTAGAGCGGCGAATATTTTCCATATAATTTATATCTGCGGTTAGACCAGCATATGGAAGCTGAATTATAACTACATGTTTTAGAAAAAGAAAGTTGTTAAATTAAATTATCAATAAAAAAATCCAATCATCTTAAAAACATTTTTAAAATTATAAAAATAGAATATGTTAAAAAAGGGTGAATTAAATATTTAAAGTTTAAGTTTCCAGCTCAAATAAAGTTCTAAAAGAAAATATGGAGTTTCCTGTCGAGTATAAAAATAAATCACAAAATTCTTCTGACATTTTCCTTTAGTCCGAATAATTCAAGCCGACTGAATTTGGCATCTTTGAAACGATAATTGCCTAATGAGACCTCTGCATCAGGTGCTATTCAGCATGATTTGTGTTGCCAAAAGTAAAATGAATGCATCGAAAGTGAAGTTAATGGCTGGCCACTGGCCACAAAAGTCAGGATACACCTACTGGCGAGTCGGAGGAGGAGTATCCTGAACAACAGCTGCCACACAGGCACCCCGAGCACCTCAGCTCACCTCGATTCCGATCTCGATCTAATTTAGGCGTATTAGTTGCCCTGCAACAAAGGGCGAATTCAGGCAAAGACAAAGACAATACTTAGACGGACCTTTTGTGCCTCGTCTCGTTTCGTTTCAAGGATCCTTGAAACCACTCCGATAAGGCGCTGCTAATGGCTTCATTAGGTTCGGCAGGTTCAACTGGAGGTTCATCTTGAGGTTCTCATCTGTTTGCCACATGCCGGGAGGCAGAAACACTGCGATCTCTGGATCTCTATGAGGGCTTTGAAGTAACCGCAGCCGAAGATCCTTCGTCTTGCGTCTGTTTAGATACATTTCAATGATTACAATTCGTTTCGTGAAATTGCTCAAGAGGCAGCAACTAATATTTTGGCATCACTTGAGGAGCATATGAGAAAAAAAAGGAGAAAGGAAAAGAGATTTCCTTTTAGGAAAAAACTCCCATAAAAAACGTCTGATGATACAAATCAAAATGCCAACTCATAAAGTCCCATGGATATGGTTGAAACGAAACATTTAATTTTAGGAACTTTTTATTACACTTTTCGTTTTACTTTGCTCCTTGAGCCGGGTGAAATGCCCAGGAAATTCACACCTTTTGGCCACAACAAGTCACCGGGTCTGATCTTTCCATTTTATGGCCCCCTCACTCGACTTTTATGGGCAATTTTCTTATGAAAAGAAATTAAAATTATATAACCACATATACCAAATATATAAATACATTATCCAATAAAGATATGACCCGGCAACGAAATCATTTAAAGAAAAATGCACAAATTGTGTTTTTGATTTGAGTGAAACGCATTCCTCGACAAGTGTCATTAAAAATGTTCTCCTCTACACCGCACTACATATATACGAAGATATATCTTGATATTTAGAAACGTATTTGTATGCAAAAGCAGTGACCGGGGACTCGTAAAGCATTGGCTGAAGTGCACATAAAAATTGTAATCGCCTGGAGTACTTACATGCATAAGAAATGTTTCTGTGTTTTTCTTTTGTTTGAAGCATTTCCCCACCGAAATTTCTCCCTCCATTTTTTGGTCATGTTACTTGATTAGACAGAAGACTCGTTAAAATTGCTCATGAACTTGAATCGTTAAATCGTATATCGGAGCAGATATGTGCAGCAATATTATTCCGTTGCATTGAGTTATGATTGTTGGGTTATAAAAATGGAAATTGAAACTTGAGGCGAAGTGAATGCACTTGTAAATCAATAGGCAAAGAGCATAATGTTTTTGGAAAGAGCAGATGTTCGAAAACTCAGTTTTTAAAGCCGCTAGTCCTGAAAATCTATATAGCATATTCTTAGCTAACTAATCATATTAACTAACATTTCAATCAACACACGCAATCAGAAGATCCCTCTTTCTTCGCATAAGCCAAGCCAAGACATTCCCAGCTTGAGATCACATTGTTAAAAATGTTTTTTTACAAGTTCACACCGAATGTTCACACTTCAGGGCAGAAGGCAGTGAATTCCTAGCAACAAAAGAGGAAAAAGGTGTCAGAAATCAAAGAACTTGGCGCCGCCCTTAAGATTCAACAACCAACCGAACCGAGTGGCATGTGTTGGCCACATACATAATTTTCGTTGAGACTCCTTTTATGGCCTTTAATTGCATTTCGATGGCCAATAAAACGTTCAGATTCAGCTGAATTAACGACGGGAAGTGCCAACAAAGCATACAAAGCTGAAACATAATTAGCGTCTTTCGTGAAAAGTCGGGGCCTTTGAAAACATATAGGCTAGTTGGCGCTAAAAATTCCCCATTGAAATAAGGATCCGAGGATTGTAGAACAAAACCACTGTTTGGATTACAATTTCAACCATTTTTGCATTGCAAATCCCAGTCGATTAATTTGTAATTTCAATCTCTGCTACATTCGTGTAATGTGTAATGCGTAAAATGCAAAATGCAGTTTAGTGGAAAATTATAAAAAATTATATTTCCACATTTCGCATTGCACTCGGTCTATGCCTAATTGAATATTTATCAAAATGGTTAGTCTGGGGGCCTGTTTATGCAAATAATCGTGGCAAATGAGCAGCGAATGCCTGGAATTAAATGAATAAATTGTTGATTTCGATTGGGGAATTCGAGGCCGAAGGGGATTCGGTGTGTGGAAACGGTATGTAAACTCTCGATGACAATTTGAGGCTTATATTGATTGGGGGATGCGTATCGCATGCCCTATCCATTATCTCTTCCAGCTGCTGCACATGGATAAGCATCGCAATTAGCCTGTAAATGGTAATTGTTTTCTCGATAAGTTACCTTGCTTCTTATCCCCCGATTACTGGAGTGTCCGGATCTACCTCATTAAAGTGCCAGTCTATAATGGTTGCCATCTCTGTGGGCCAGCGACTCCTTAAACGATTTTACATAAGTGTATGTCCCGACAATGCTCCAATGCTCGTTGGCTAAGTGTCTGGGCTTGGTTGCCTCGGCCACTTGAAAGTAATTAAGAATCCTTTAACATATTTTCTTATCGCGTTAAATGGCCTGATGATAGAATGGCATGACAATCATGGATGGCGCTGAAGGGGGATCGTTTTGGTTTTGGTTTGGTTAATCCTACTTTTCCTTAGAATACTAAATAAGAACACTTGTTATTACCTTTTCTTATGGTTACAATCTTTGTTCTAATTTTTTATTTCGATCTGTAACTTTTTAAGATCTATCTGTACCTTTGTTTCCTAACAAGTGGCACCTGTCCGAATTATCTTAACAGCTGTGTTTACCTTGACCAACCCACACATTTTTCTCTCTCTACCAGGAATCCCTTTTACAAACAACGCCCCTTGTCGTGGACGGACGTTCAAGTGCTCAATTGTGCAAACTCCTTGAATGGCCAGAAGAAGGGGGAGACCCGCCCCTGCTTGGCCAGCTGCTCCGCCACTGGCTCCCGTGGCAGAGGCTCCGATCCTAAGCTCGAGTTCAGACCAGGTTTGAAGATCATTGTGAAATCGA